GAGTTAAAACCAAAGTTTTAAGAATATAGGTGTCAAGTCCTGACTAACGACACCATTATTGCTAGTAGTGGTGGACATACCGTGGGCAAATAATAGGACCGATCACAGTTTGGGTTTCAGGCTTTTCAGCTGAGTGAACAAAGTAAAGCCAAACTTCTCATTCATTCAGAAGGCAGAATAACAACAATAAGTGTAGCAGCTTCTGAAGTATATTTCAGTGACAACTATATTTAGGCTAACTAGAGCTAAAGATATAGTGTCACATCTTAAAAGCACAAACACTTTATTCAGCTCAGAAGGCAGCGGTAATCACAGCAAACAGTTGTTTGTCTTCAGAGTGTACAGGCCTGCTAGCATCGCTCCAAAGCTGTCTTTTAAGTCTGCTGCCTGTACTTCCCAGAGGTGTTCAGCCCGCTTTGAATGCAACTTGGCTACCAAAACGCGCTCTCTTCCCTCTTTCTTTTGCATGTTCTGGTTCGCTGTTTTGTAATCAACCCGAGTTCTTTCCAAGCTTTCCTTAAGGCAGGGAACTAACACCGGCTTCTCTGATCTTGGATGCATGTGTATTTAAGCAGGAGTGTACATGTGAAATGTATTGACCTCTTTTTATGTTTGACTGTGTTTTGTTTTTTAACCCGTGCTCCTTTGGCTACAGAATGACACAAATAGGAAACACTATATCAGGAGTAACAGGCCTGCAGTCAGTCTGGTGGACGCTTGTGATGTTAAGCCCCAGCCTGTTGACTCCTGGGTCTAAATGCATGCATGGTAGGTCTGAAAAATTGAAATCGCAAACAGGAGAAACTCCTCGCACCTTTCATGTTGCATCCTTTTCATCCTCCGCCTGCTCCTCATTTCTGCCTGTTTTCCTCTCACCCTCACACTTTGTCATGTAGACTTGCTGTCACCCTGCACCCAGATCAGTCAGGTGGAGAAATCACCTCTTTCTTTGCATAGAAATTACATTGTAAACAACTTTTGAGGATTTGTTTTGCGTAGAATTTGAAAGTGCAAGAAAACAAATGGTTAATATTTAAACCTCCCCCAAAAAACTTCTACTCTCTGTATCACATAAAAAGAAGGGTGGTGCTGGTCCTCTGTTCACAATTCAGCACCACCCGTCTCATTCAAATGTAGACCTATCCTCACTCATTGCTTCCCCCTGACAGTCTTTGCTGAAATTGGCAGCAAATGATGAAGGGGAATCATTCTTCTGCACCCTTGAGAGATCCTCCAGGGACTCTGTTTTGCCTTAATGAAAAGCAGCACGGAAAAAGAAAAAGATACACACACACACACACACACACACATACTAAGTCTGCAGTTGTCGTACACGACATATCTCGGGTCAAAGCGAGACGATTTCAGATAAAGAACTCATGCAAGTTGATAAGCTGATGGCAGAAATCAGTGTGTATAATATGCAGGAACCCACACAAGTTTGCACTCCCATATATTGTGTTTGGAGAGGAGACACGATTCCGAGTGCATATATTTTAAGATCTGAAGTAGATGATTTGAAAGTTTTGTGTTTAAATTTCTGGTATGAGTGATTTCAAATAGGCTTATGTAACTTAGATTATCATATTGTGTGTAAGTTACAGAAAGAAACTTTTCTGTGGTTGAGAGAGAATCAAACACATCTCTACTACTGTTTGTTTAAATGCTGTTTTTCACCATTAGAGATAAATGTTTATTAGAAGCCTCTCTAAACAGTCATGTACCGTACATTAGTAGCATCCTTAAATATGGATGCTTGGTTAGGACCTGTAGGTGTCACACTGTAACACAACCGATACCCAGTTTTTGTTTTGTTTGTTTTTTTGTCAGTGTGCTGCCAAAAGTGCTCTGCTGGTGTCGTCACCGTCACGGAACGCAAAACTGAAATCCAACAACCGGAAAGGCTCAGACAAAATAACACTTTCACAAAAAACTGTCCCAGACACCACTTAAAGTCTTCTGCTTAGAGTTTGTGTGATCGTACCAGCTGCCACCCAGCCTGTCTCCTAAAGCAGATGTTACTTGGTTGTTTGTTTTCCTTGTAAAGCAAAATAGAGGACACAAATGTCAGGAAATGACACTCTAGGCATACCCAGTTCATTAAATGTGCTGGGTAGAAGAAGCAGTTCCTCATCCAAGAAATCGTATGAAACAACTTGGGTGTGTTTTGTGTGCATTTACTAGTTACAGTACATTAGCAACAGTTTTCTTTAGAGTGTGATTGACCATTTAAGCTGATCTGGGTGAGCTTCAGTAACTGCCTCACTGCTGTCGTCCTCTCCTCTGCCAGAATCCTCATGTCAGACCTCACTGCCTTTTTCGTTGACAGCATTTTATCTCAGTCATGTTCATCACTGGCCATTCAGTTCTTTCATCTCCATCTAACGTACTGTCGTAGGAAATACTTCAAAGGCTAGATCTTAGATAGAATGGTATGGTTTTTGGTATTTGTTGTAATTTCCAGCTACAGGTAATGATAAGGATGAATCATCAGGTGAGTCGTCTTCACTTCATTTAGCGCACGCAGGATTTCACACAGCACATTAAGCATCTGTTTTGCTGTCTCTCACCTCCATTCTCCATCTGGATTGACATGATTGACGCTTTAAGAGTGACACAATTTTTCAAGTGCTGTGATAATGCCATATGATTGCTGACAAGAAAGAGATTCAAATTAGCATTCACAACTTTTAATAGTAACATGCTGTTTCAACGCTGAGAAAATCTGTTTTGGTGTGATATTTTTATGGAAATGGCTGGTGATATTTTTTTGTCTTGTTGTCCCACTGATGTCCCTGCACAGTACACTAGCAGCTGAGATAGATGCATGCACACATTTGCTATTTACTGCTATGTGTTATATAAGACACATCCATCCAGGGACAGTGACAGAAGACGATGTCATGTCCTCTAAATACTTAAATACTAAATACTAGGATATAAAAGTATGCCACAGGATTAAGGATGCACCTGGTGACTAATTTCTTAGTAGACTAACCTTAGAAAATTAGACAGCCCAACTAGTCTAAAACTAAGAAACACTCAAATATTAACTTAAATTTGAGAAACGTTTAATGGAAAATGTCAAAAACTAATAACTAAGCCATTTTACAATAATGAATCATGCTGCTTAACTGTGCAGCACCTTGCATCCTGCATTATCAATATTACACGTTATTCTCTAGACAGACAGTGAAGAAGAAAAAAACACTTAAACCAATGTTAAATATGGTGTGAAAGGAGTAGCAACTCTACTATAAGGGAGAGCCCATCCATCTTTTGGAGAAAGCGATCAGTAGTGTTAACAAAGAGATGAGGCCTGGATTAACAGATTTATCGTGTTTCTCTACAGCATTGTGCCATCTGCTGGCAGATGGCTGCTTAACATTTGGTACACAATAATTTACGGCATTGGCCTCAATTAAAATTTTTAACAATTACATTAAATTACTCGCAAGTCTGGTACAGACTAGTGACAACAGCAACAATTAGCCAGCTAGACGACTAGCCTAGTTGAGTAATTGCACACATCCCTACACAGGATACAGAACCAAGTAGTGAAACGCTAACATATGGTCCCTAAAGACATTAATATTTTCTTGGTTACAAGGTAATTTAGGCACCATATGTCTAGTTTGCTGTAATGAAGTTATTGTTAGCGAGGTGTTAGCATGCTAGTTAGCTAAAGAATTTGCAAACTTAATAACTCATGTTTTTTTTTCTTCATAGTAATAAGAGCTGAATGCTGTCAACATACAGTAGCTTATCTTACATACAAATATAGTGGCCTAACACTAACATTTGGATATGTGATGTAAATAGCGAAACTCATGCTAAAAACACTGTTTATGACGCAGTGTTTCGTTCCTAATTGCAATTGCAAAAGTTTCACTCTCACTAAGTGAACTAAGGTGAAGCTGTGGTTAAAGCTGTAATGATTTTATTTGGCTACTTGGAAGCAAAACAAAAAGCTAGAAAACCAAAAAATTGAGCAGGGAATTATTTTAAATGGAAAAAAAGACAACATTTTAGTTTTTGTCTTTTAATGGGCTCTACAGACAAGAGTGCGAATATGAAATGTTGCCAGCCATGTCCTTTAAATAATTTAAAATTGAAGTATTCAGATTTTTATCACTGATAATGGGTTTTTTTGGAAGGGGGGGGGCATTTTGTACTGAAGCTCATCATTTACTGTTGCTTTAAACTGATTGTCTCTCTTGTCCATGTGCTTCAGGCTTAAAATAGCAACTGTGTGACGCTAGAAGAGGATCTCCCATATCACCACTGCCATTTCACATGGAACTCATCTTTGGAGTTGGACTTTGTACAGAAAAAGGGGATTTCACAAAAAAATAACGATCACAACGGCAACTACCCAGCAGCAGCCAGCATTCAGTCATGCTTTTCAGAGAAAATTTAAAAAAGAAAAAGAGACTACTCCTACTACTTTGTCATATCAACATTCCCACTGGACATCATGTGAATTTTACAGTTCTGACTCTTGTTGAGCGCAACCAGTGACAAAAAACAGACCGAGACCAATGCCGGCGGAACGATGGATATGTGATGGGGAAAGTGAAGTAAGCAAAGAAAGGAGAAATGGGATGTGTGTTGGAGAGAAACCTGATGGAGGAATAAAATGTTCTTTTATTTTAGCCTGCATCAAATTTTGTAGGTTGTGGAGAGTATCAGAGTCTGGTATTTTGATGTGATGGGTTGGAACAGATGTGTTTGAAGGTCACCGAATGTTCGTTTGATGGGATGGAAAAGGAAAGAAAGCGAGCCTAAGAAGAACTGTAGCATAGTGGCAAAACGTGTACTCCCAGCAGGACCCACCATGAACTTAAAATCCATTTGGGTTCACTGTGTTTTTTGAAGAAAAAAAAAAGTTATATAAAGTTATTTCAAAGCCTTGCTTTGATATCAAATGTGTCAAACTGGTGATTGATGTCCATTTTTATAAAGTCTGAGGAGTCTGCAAGTTCTAGTCTGGAGGAAGGCAAGTGACATAGTGAGTACACGGGATGATGTTTCTGTTTGCACTGCATCACAAAAGTAAGAGAAAATGGAAACAAAAGCAACAAAGACTTCCTGTTTAACTGTGGTCGACACAAATGAGCCAGGCGGCGTGTCGACTTTTCTTCACAGAGCCGTGATTACGTGTGTAACCACCAGGTTTGCGTAGTGATGCAGTTTCATGGTTTCCCAGCTGGTTGCTGTATGTCAATGATGTGTATTAAAGAGGATATAAGAGTTTTTGTTTATAAATGATTTGTGCTTTTGAAAAGACAGGCATAAGTTCTTTTTTGTTGGAAAGATGGATCCAAAAAGGATTTGTTTTTGTTTTTTGTTGTTGTTGGGTTTTATATAAATGTATATTAGGCTCAAAAGGAACAAAAAAAAAAAAAAGAAAAGAAAAAGAAAAATGAAGGAGAAAATGACATTTACTGACTTCTTAGTTGTATATTAATATCACATTGTTTGGAAAGCACATCTCATTTGATAGAAGTTCATCATGTTTGTAAGCAAGAAATAACCACGTAACTTAAATGTGTGTCAGTTATCGTTACACAGCCGATCACCTATTTATATTTTGTGTTTAAAAAAAATGTTACAGGAAAAACAAAATTTATCTGCAGTTTTCTTTATGAAGGCGATGCATCTGTGTTTGACTTTATCTCTCTGGAGGGGTCAGAGGTCACACAGCTTGATAAGAGGTGGCAGTGTTAATGAAAGTTGTGTTTCTTTCCCCAAGCAAGTACCATCGACTCTCCGACACCAGTACATCTTAAAGAGAAATATTCAGTCGTGAGCATGAAGAAAAATCTGTACAGATGTTTATATTCTATTCTTTCCAAGTGCCAGGTTTTGTTTTTTTAATTTTGTCGTCTTTTTATTTGTGTGTGACGTCATTCGGATATTAACTAAGTCCTTCGTGTGCAGGAAGAGTGTGCAGGTGGATGATTAGGTGTGGTTAGAGGCAAAACAACAACAAAAGAAGGTTGCATCCCTCTGTACAAATTCAAACATCAAGTTTGACCATATAGTATATATTTTTACAGCGTTACAGGGTGGGCAGCTGAGATGCAAGAAAAGCGCCGTGGAAGAGAATCCAATCTGAGGTTGTTTCACTCGTGCGTCATCAAGGCGAATGGCATGTGCCTGCGTTCAAGTCTGACTTTTCTTTGTGACGTATGTGACTCTATGAAGCTTGCATATTTTACACAGTGTTTATAAAGATGTACGTTGTGGTAAAAATCAATGAACTACAAAACAAACAACTTATTGTATAAATTTTATTTTCACAAGTTAAAAAAGAAAACACGATAATACCCAGCATCCCTTTCGTGTGTGTGTGTCCTCAGACGTGTGTGCTGTCATTAGACCCACATGACTGTCTGTTCCTAACTGCACTACGCAGTGCCACAACCAAAGGATCTGGAGTTGTATTTACACACATTTAAAAAAAAAAAAAACAGGGGGTTTAGGTTTTGTGGATGTGCTGCCCTTATGTACATTTACAAAATAAACATGGACACACACACACACACACACACTAAATCAAACAGGCCTACCTGTGTAGATATATCTGAATCAAGACCGTCAAAATAAAGTAACTGTACTACTCAGTAGCAGATGTGTTTGTACCTATCATGTGCCTTAACCTTTTCCATGGTAGATAAAGATAAGTGTTTTATATAAACTCTATTCCTCCCCTTCAGCTGTCATCTCTCCATTCCCTATGTTCACCTTCTCCTCCCCCCCTGTCAGCCCCTCTTCTCATTTTTCCCTCGACTCCGCCCATCACTTCATGGATCCTGCATCATCACCACCACCACACCCAGCCCGACCCTCACCCACTCCCAGCCCCTGAGTAGTTTAGACTGTTGGTGGCTTTCTGCCCTCTATTACATTGTATTATAAACTTTTAAAAAGATAGACTCGTTGGAAGAATTGGTTGGATTTCCTAGAGGAGTACAGTTGTTAATGCTTTCGTAGCGAGCAGAGGCGATGCCACAGTGACAGAATGTATGTTAATTTTACTAATACCCAGAGGCAATTATTACGCTTGTTAAACATAACGGAAAAATACTGGTTTGTAGAATATAAATTTGGTGTGTTTTCAATAAATCATGCCTGGAAAGAACTCTTTGCTCTGCTCCGAGTCTTGTTTTATATCATGTGTGATGAATCCACCCAGGTTATTCACTCACATCGGAGTTTCATTTAATGCTCACAGGGAACATTTTACTGTGGAACTACCTTTCAACCAAAGAAATATTTTCAATGAAAATTACTGAGTGGATTATTGATACCAAGTGGGTAGCAAAATTCCGAAATGTATTTCATCATGGTATTGAAATCACCTTCCTGATAAAATGCTTTCTGTTACACCAGGAATGTTCACATTAACTTAAAATTTACTTCAATACAATAATAATTTAAAACATGGGAAGAGTCCGGTGAGTGTACATGAGGAACGTGCTCAGAAATCAGGACTCATCTGACCAACTGTCCAATTCTGATGAACCTGTGTGAACTGTAGCCTCAGTTTCCTGTTCTTAGCTGACTGATGTCTTCTGATTCAAGGTTCTGCACGTCATGGTGTAGAGGTGCTCTTCTGCATTGGTTGTAACAGAGTTGCTGTTGCTTTCCTGTCAGCTTAAAGCAGTCAGACTACTCTCCTCTGACCTTTATGACTTCTGTCATCAACGATGCATTTTCACCCAGAGAACTGCCGCTCACTGGACATTTTCTGTAAGCTCTATAAGGCCAATCATCTAAAATGCATTTAGGCCGGACATGTGGAGGCTCAGAAGCAGGGCCATATCCAGAGGTTTTGAAATGGGGTGGACGGACCCGTGGGAAATAAATTAATATCAAAAATAAGAACCAAACAAAAGCAGTTGAACATTGAGTTATAAAGTTATTAATGTGCACAGACTTCCAGCCTCCAGCGGCCCTTTAACAGTATGGGGCCCCAGTGAAGCACAAGTCAGATAATGGCGCTGTAATAAGACATAGTCTGGTTACAATGGTAAACATATTTACCTGTACGAAGTAGGAAAATAGTGTCTCACACATTGTTCATCCTTTAGGGAATTGTAGGCAGTGGAACAAACCACTGTGAGGTACATGAGGGGGGAGTCCCTCTTTTAAACCTTACAAAATGAATGTTTTCCATTTGTAACTGAACCAAGAGCTTAAACTGTTGGTATGCTGGTATCTCCCGGGGTTAGTGTTTTAAATCTGTACCCAAAGAAAACAGCAATCTAAGCAAGAGGGTCTTTATTCTGAATGAAATCCAGCTTTCAAGTCAAAGGAGGCTCCATCTCTTTTAAGATATTGTGTGAATTCAGAACAAGAAGGCCATTTTTAAAAATTACGATCTCACTATTTTACTAATGCAGAAAAACAGGACTTTTTTTGGTCAAGTACACATACACATGTTAACCTTTGGCAAAGGAATTTGTGCATATACACCCTTCACACAGGATGTTTTGCAGCTCACTGGGCACACGTGGAACAAATAACATTAACTCATTCAGTCCTCTCAATAAGCTGTGTCACTACACAGGATGCACCACAACCAGGATCCTAGATCTCATAGCCATCATTAGTGTCATTAACTATGCATATGCTTTAATGTGGTGTTAAGACACGCTTATACTGTGAACAGTAATTCACATGACAAGTTACAACAATTGGTAATGGTTTATAAATTAGTGCTCAGAAAAATTATTATCTGAACACTGTACTTTTGTTTTTAGAGCATGATGTAGCACCTTCACTGCAGCATGTAAGACAGAAAATTACAAAATCTGTTCTCTAGACTAACAGGAGTGTTGCATTGTTCACACGGTGGACTCTAATATTTTTTTTTACAGAGGGCTAAGAGTCATTGATTTTTACATGAAAAAATGTAACTAGCTTCACAGTTTTCTGGTGGAACTCATGCAATAGTCGCTGACGTCGTTCAGTCTGGTTTATCACAAACAGCGTTCCACGGGGGTCAGTACAAAGCCCCATCCTGTTCACTTTGTAAATAAAACGTGTAGATAACTGGGGCAGTATTATCATAAACCCTGAACTGATAATTAGTCAGTTAATTCAGATACAAATAACTGCATGTTCTTCTCCAGATCACACATGAAAAATCTAATAAGTGTGATGTATGTAATATTAATATTATTTATGTGACCAGAGCCAGCCCAAAGTTTTATGAGTAGAATTTCATTTAAGGCCCCCATCCCTAGCCAAACCCATCAGAAAGTGCGTACCCCAGCATCACCAATATTAACATTTCGTGCATACGTGATAATTTGTGCATTATGCATTTAATACAACCATTATTTAGTGGTTTGTGGATTAGTAGTGTGCTGGAAAGAAATAACCCATCAGACAATGAATTTTTAAAACCAGTTGACTGTTTTAATTGTTTTTTAAGTGTACAAATGAACAAAACAGAAGCAAAGAATCGAAAAAAGGCCTGAATATTATTTTTTGCATCACAAAGAAAATGTTTTTTAATAGACGATATTAAATAAATGAAACAGTCTGACTAAGGAACTGACAGGAGAGTAACAACAATAATAATACAGTGGGGCAAAAAAGTATTTAGTCAGCCACCGATTGTGCAAGTTCCCCCACCTAAAATGATGACAGAGGTCAGTAATTTGCACCAGAGGTACACTTCAACTGTGAGAGACAGAATGTGAAAAAAAATCCATGAATTCACATGGTAGGATTTGTAAAGAATTTATTCGTAAATCAGGGTGGAAAATAAGTATTTGGTCACCTCAAACAAGGAAAATCTCTGGCTCTCACAGACCTGTAACGTCTTCTGTAAGAAGCTTTTCTGTCCCCCACTCATTACCTGTATGAATGGCACCTGTTTGAACTCATCATCTGTATAAAAGACACCTGTCCATAGCCTCAAACAGTCAGACTCCAAACTCCGCCATGGCCAAGACCAAAGAGCTTTCGAAGGACACCAGGAAAGGTATTGTAGACCTGCACCAGACTGGGAAGAATGAATCTACAATAGGCAAGCAGCTTGGTGTGAAAAAATCAACTGTGGGAGCAACCATCAGAAAATGGAAGACATACAAGACCACTGATAATCTCCCTCCATCTGGGGCTCCACGCAACATCTCATCCCGTGGGGTCAAAATGATCATGAGAACGGTGAGCAAAGATCCCAGAACCACACGGGGGGACCTGGTGAATGACCTGCAGAGAGCTGGGACCAAAGTAACAAAGGTCACCATCAGTAACACACTACAACGGCAGGGAATCAAATCCCGCAGTGCCAGACGTGTTCCGCTGCTGAAGCCAGTGCATGTCCAGGCCCGTCTGAAGTTTGCCAGAGAG